GTTGAAGTCCCACATCTTCAAACTGCCAAGGTGGAGAAATGCTAATCTGGACCCTCCACCATGCTAGGCAGCTCTCTTCTTCAACAACCCAGGTTGAGCTTGGCCAATTCAGCCCTGGGCTAGTATGTAGGTGAGTACGAGTGAGTGAATGTGTTTGAAATTTTCTTTCTTTTTTTTTATAAACTTGGAACTCAATAAAAACTTTTTGTTGCTCAATCTCAGGGTCTTGCATCGCTGACTACATTGGATTAGGCTACCTCTCTTGCGACAGGCAACCACCCCACGACGTTGGCAAAGTGCAAACTCTTGACCTGGTTGTATGAGAAAACCAAGGTGTGTCTCCTTGTAAATTCCCATGTATCATCAGGCTGATCCCACCCATTATGGTGACCTGACTGCATTGCCTATCCAAGTCGGTAGGTCTTGAAAATGATGGCGAAACACCACTTTAACACCAGTTAAGATGATTTAAGGTGTAGCTTGGAATGGTACCTGGATAATCATGAGACAAAATAGGGAAAGACCCACAGAGTTTGACCAAACCCAAGAGCGAGTCCATGTCTGAGCAGAAATGACCTTCCTCAACATATTTAATGATAGTTACTATGTGCCTAATGATCAGCTTACCGAAAAAGTCATGGTAGAAGGACCATGGATTAGTTTCTCAGGAAGGAGGGGGCGCATTCCAGGAAGGGGGTGAGACAAGAGACAACACAGTCCAGAGCAGGAGCGCAGGAATTGATTTAGGATAGCCACTCCCTAGAATCTCCCAGGGTATATCCGCTAGGTTAGAGTAGTATAGATTTAGTCTGGCAAGATTCTATCTATATGGTGTAAACAATAAAAGAACTGAATTTGAATGAACTGTTTCCCTGTTGTTCTTGGATCGGGCCTGACGATTAGATTTAACCTTGCTTAGTTTCAGTGTGTGTGCATGAAGGAGTGTCGCTTGGACCATGGTACCAATCCATCTAGATAGGTGAGTGTGTGCCTTGAGATCTTGCATGAATCCAGAAAAAGAATGAGTTCTATAACTAGGTTAAGTGTATTGTCTGAATGCAGCCAGCTTGAAAACTGGGTAGGACTGTGATGTGACCTGAACATATTACGGCTGTACAGCCCACAGGAATGAAAGACTTCAAGGTCGATGAGGCTGACCTGTTCTGGTTCCAAATCCACTGTTATTTCACCCTTTTTCTTGGCTGCCCGGAAGGCTTCGTAAAAAGTCCTTTCTCCAGACTGCAAAGTAATTGTCAGCACAGCGTCATAAGCCTCCCGGAAGGTGTCATCATTTTCAAGAAGAAAATATGAATGGTTCCCGTATGGCAGGCTGTAGAACAGAGTATCGTAGGGCACAAAGACGTATCTGCCGTTGGTCAGCCCCAGTTCCTGGGCTTTGCTTAGGAAAGTAGCTTGATCTTCCCCTCCAATGAGAGCAGAAGGCATGCAGAGAACCAGGACTGCAAGAAGGAAAAGCAAGGAGTTAAAACTTTCCACTTACACAGGAGAGGAGGGGGGAGAAAAACAGCATGAAGGTCCAATTCACACCTGAACTTGAAAGGTCAGTTGGAGATTTTAATTTGTTGCTCCCTTTCTAACTTGCTTCTAAGTTTCTTGCCACTTTTCCACTAAGCGTAAGTGTGCCAGAGACACGCAAGCAGTCCTCCAGCATCTTGCCTGCTTAGCTTTTAGCACATTCACAGGAATGGAGAAGGGAGGGAAGGGAAGAAGGAAAGACGGGAAGAAGGAAGCTCAAACACAACCAAATCTAACCCATGCCAGTTCAGGAAAATCACTAATGCAGGATCTCTACAAGTGACTCTATGATTTCTTCTTCAGAACCTCTCACAAAGGGGAATCAACCATCTCTGGACTAGTACTGAACAAATTAGGTCATCCGGGTCTTCTCCTAATCCTAATCTTTAGATTTGAAATCCCCTGCCTAGTAATCTGGCCTGGGTCCTACCTTCTGATAACTATCCTGACAAGGAATTTTAGGAGTCCAGCCCCTCTAGAGGACACCACATTGGGGAGGGCTGGTCTGCAGCAACCAGGAATACAGTGGATCATCTTGAGCCTCCAGAAAAAATCCTGGAATGTCTGTTGGGAGGTCCCTTAGAGGCCATCTAATCCAACCCCCTGCTCAGGTCAGGAACGGATGGAAAACTAAAACATGCCAGACAGGCAGCCATCCAGACTCATTTGAAAACGTACAGCAAGGGCAGCCTGTCTCAGTTCTAGGTGGACTGTTGTGCTGCTGAATGGAGAAAACTCCTTCTACATTCATTCTTTTAAGTCTATGAGTCTCTGCCCTGCTCTCAGTTTCAACAGTAAGGAGACCCTTCCCCTCTTATGCACGAGAGCCTCTTAGGGAATTGTCAATCTACTTCCCACCATCTTTTCTTGTTCCGGAGAGAGCTCTAAATTGTCCTTTATTGTCCTGATAGCCCTCCTCTGAACCTGCCCCATTTTTCCATTTCCCTTCGCACGTTCAGCAACCTGACTCAGTCCTAGACCTCCAAGTACCGCCCAGCCAGCAGTAATTGCAATGGAATTGTTAGAAAATTATGGGATCTTTGCTCCGTAATTCCTTCTACAAGCTGACTTTCCTCAACTGGGCAAACGTTTTTGGCTTAGAGGGCTTCAGCATGACGTTCTTCTGGTCTGAGAGCATCCAGGAGCCCAACTGCTGATTAGATGGCAAAGGAATGACCAACACTGAAGTTTACAACTTATTTGGTGGGCCATGATAAGGCTTAAAACCAGTGTTTCTCAACATTGACAACTTTAAGGCATGTGGACTTCAACTCCCAGAATTCCCCAGCCAGCAAGGCTGGCTGGGGAATTCTGGGAG